CCCAGCCATTTTGTGCGTGGTCCTTTGTAAAATTTTGTAATTTAAATTGAAAACAATAATATATAAAATGCTAAATATATTACAATGATTTGAAAATGTTTTGTTATAAGAATAAATTGAAAAGTATTAAAATAATTTAACATTTTACAAAAAAAAAGATGTTCAATTTGTTTTTTCTAGACAATAATGACATTAGGAAATAGTGTTTTAACTGGGAATAAAAAATTATACACTTAACACGCTATTATTTCTTCATTGCATTAAAAATCAATAATCCATATTGATAAGATGTATATATAACAATAAAAAAGCGATCAAATTGATTAAATCTTTTACCTTTGAATTATTGATTATATATACCCTTGAAATTAATTTCATTAACTTAATTTATTTTAATACTAAGATTAAAAACAGAACAGCCTCATATGAATACATCATAACTAAGAGAAGCGCCTATAACGGTCAAAGTTACATATTGCAAGAATACATCTACATGTATTTTAAATAAATTTACTTCAGATGTATGACTGTGCATCGATTACTTTCGAATTTTCAACATAAACTGAAAAATAATATTCCTCCAAAAAAATTAAATTAGATCTTCAATTTTACTTAGATCTTCGATGCTACAAACATCTTAAGATCTCTAAAGAACTTATTGCGAAAAATATTACCTCAGACGGAATTCGAACCTGGATCTCCCGTATTACGTGCGGGCGTCCTCCCAATTTGATCGAGGTTTCGACAACATTTGTCGCAATAACTAACGATCAAAATTAGAATTTATTTATTTCGTTCATTATTGTTTATTTCTTTATTCAATATCAATCTTTAATATATAAAATTAACCTAGATAATCGACAGAGATTACATTATATATTTATTAAAAGTCATCATCCGAATGCCTTTCTATCTTACTGACGGCTCGTTTTTCTTGAGCAGCTTTGAGATCATAGTCGCCCATATTTGTCGCACCCACGGAATTTAAAAGATCTTCATCGTCATCATCGTCAAGATCTCCGTCAATTAATAAATCACTATCGCTATCCAGTGAACCATCACTATCGTTTTCAGGAATCGTACCCCTTTGCCGTCCAGACATGCTACCGTAAATACGTCGCTGAGTATATTGCATCTTTGACGCTCTTCCAGTAGCTGGAACATTTTTAATTTATTATTGCCAAAAAGCGTAGAAAAATTTATTTTCTTTCACATATCTATTATATTTTCAAAAATTTTATTGATTTGCAAGTGATTTTCAAAATTACAATATTCAACATCATATAACATGTTCTCTAAATTCCTTAGAGAGAAATCTCACTCTAAAAGAATGAAAATATTGCCACTATTGAAAGAGAATCAAAATATTTGCACTCTTTTTCAATAGTAGCAGTATTTTCACTCTTTTGGAGTAAGATTTTACTGCATAAAATTTAGAGAGAGTGCGAATTATTTTCTACAATAAAAATTGTTACTTGATTTGATGTGGCTGGATTGACCAGATTTTTCTGCCGCTGTGGCTTCCGGATTTGTAAGGGGGGTAACTAGAGGTTCTTGAAGATTCGTAGCAAATATAGAATCGTTCCCTTCCATCATACTTTCGAAATTCGTATCCTCAGCTCTCAGTTGTTCCAATTGTTTTTTCGTTGCAGCTTGCCTGCAGTTAAGATTAATAATATTACATAATTATGTTACATAATTTATTTGTATGTTATTTATGATTATATGTATTTTTTAATCTTGTTTTCATATATTTGTTATTGACAAATACCGTCTTTCGAATCTTTCCTGTTCCACTTTAGCCGCATCTTCATATAAGTGTTCCAGATACGCAAGATACCGGAATTTCTGTAAATAATTATCATACAAAGCTCTAAACTCGATTTCGAGTTTCTCGAACTCCTCCATGAATGCTGGACGGACTTTCTTCAACGTATGAAGTCTCTTTTGATTTCGATCCAGTTCCGTTTTCCGCCTCTCAATTCTTGCATCCAAGTTTTGTTCTGTATCCTACAAAAATAAATAAATTTATTAATTGATAAAATTATTATATGGTAATGAAATATTTTTGTAGAGATCAGACGAGCAATTTAAATTTTAAACACACAAGAACTATCTTATCAAATAAAAAATTTTACTTTAACATTGTCGATTTGCTTCTTGGTTTCACTAATCTCTTTGCGCGTGTTTTCGATAACATCTTTTAGAGCTACTTCTATTTCGGAAGTGTCGAATTGCCTCGCAATTTTAGTATTGCGAATCTCACGAAGTTCCACTTCTCGGCCGAGTAAGTCGAAGAGGGCCGCTCCATTGATGGTTAATTGGCTCGCTAACTGCCGAGTTGTTTTCAGCTCGTTAATTTTATTGGAAATGTCGAAATTTACTGCGTTCTGATTACTGCTCGATTGACTCTGCTCAGTATTGCTACTGTTCTGTGCGTCATACAACAGCGTGGCTATCTTCAACATCTCTTTTACTGCATAACCGTCGGCTTGATATAGTTTTTTCGTATTTAATTTTATATTTGTCTTCAATGCCTAGAATGCATAAAATTACATGTGTTATTTGTTACAATTTCTTTTTAACTATTTTTTAATATTTGAGATATATAATATAGGTTTAAAATGAGTCAAATTTATCAGAAACAGATTTTACAAAGTATTTACTACAAATTATATAAACGAAGAAATTATAGAATTTTTTTAACAGGATATAATAGCAGATTGTTAGCAGAAACCAAACAGAATCTATTATTTAACCATCATTTAAGTGAAATATATCATTTAAATGATTACGAAATACAACATTCTGCTTGGTTTCCATTAGCAATCCATTATTAGATTATATTGAGAGATTTTGTTAATATGAGCTTAATGCAGATGCAGTTGATATTAATCTATTGCAATGTTCTATTTGAATAGATTAATAGAATATTGCAATACTTAATATAACGCTAACACTTTATTTACTGGATGATTGAAAGTGATATATTTTGAAATAAATAAATAATAATTAATATAATCTTATCAAACACTTTCATGAGTTTATAGAATAAATAAGATAGATTTAGATACTCTTTTAAAAAAAGAATCATTAAACTAATGTTATGACTAGACGTAATGTTTAAATCATTTACCATAAATTCAGCGACACTACGTATCAATGTTACACGTTGTTCCTCAGTATCGTGATCGCTAAATATATCAATATCTGGATCGAATCGTTTCACCAGCCAAACTAGAATCTCCGCAACCAGAGGAAAATTCGGCATGCGAAAATTCGCAAGGGAAATTAACCTCGGATAACCTAGCACTCTCATCATTTCCGTGAAATCTATGTAAGCAGGTAAAAAGAAAGTAAATCGCAAAATAGCTCCGTTTATATTAATAATCATTTTATATACGTACTGCGTAAATCACGGTAAGACATTTTCACGACGAAAAACTAAATTCGTAGTCACTATAGTTCACTGTAGTCACACAAAGGTTGGCTTTCACAGTTATGTTTTCTTATTCGCGGTATTAATGTTGCCATAGAAACCATCAGCTGGATTCATGGACAAGATTGTGAGCAATCGATTTTTTATCATATAATATAAACTTATATTTACAATTTATATATCACTGAATTTTATATAGATGTGTGTGTAGAATATCAAATTCTAATTTAAAAAAAATTACATAATTATATTATATATTACATATAATAATTTTAACACAAATTAAAATTTATTTCCAATTTAAATGTTTTTTAATAATCATCCTAATTTAATTTGTAAATCTTTTTATCATACATATTATACAGATTACTTAAAAATTCATAATACACAAATGGATGAATATAAATTCTTTTCCTTTATTTCGTTTATACAGTTATCACTCCTATATATAGCTATACAATAATTGGACAATTGAAATAATTGAATTAAATTATTTAAAACTCTGCAGCAGGGGCTTGTCTGTTTTTCTTGAGTTGAGAATGAAGTCTTTTCTCATGTAGCCTTTCCCTAGCAGCTCTCAGCAGATTTTTCCTCTTCTTTTCTTCTGATTCAGGTGTTGGTTGCGCTGGTACTACCAAAGTGGCTCTTATCATTTCCCTTAACTTTTCAAGAGCATCTGCCAAATTTAGATGCTGAGATCTTGTTAAATCCGACTTGATTATTAAGTAACCATCTTTGTTTATCTTGTTTTTACACTAAAATAATAATTTCATGTTTGAATTTATTACGAACTTGATATTATCAAATTGTTAGCCAGGAATTTGATCAGCTACTTTATTTATAATTGAAATTAACTAATGCTATAATAATTCAAATTAACTAATGTAAACTTTATTATGTATGTACAATTCTACTCACTTGTTCCGCTAACTTTGTTCGAATTTCTTCGGATAACCAGGTAGCACTGTTCACCTGGAACCTCAAATCTACTTTGGTATTTACACAGTTAACATTTTGCCCTCCCGGTCCACTGCTACTACTATATGCTATTTTTACTTTGTCCAAGGGTATATAACCACTGAATTTTGCTTTAGGATCTGGCACCTAAGAGATGAACAAGAACTAATTACCGTTCAGTCGACATTGAGGTTATGTTACAAAGATAGCATGTTTTAGAACTCAAATATAGCACATTTACAGAAGCGATACACAAACAGAATCAATATTATTTATTATATAAGTATTTGTAGATCAGTATACACTAACGAAAGTTGGAGTGTACAATTTCAGTTTGCTTTCCGGATACAAGTTCTTCAGGGACAAAGCACTTTTAAAACTGAAAGCTCTACCGAGACTGTACGATATATTCTGACTGTTAATGTTGCTCTGTAAAATTCTCAAACACTGCCTCCTAACGAGATTCATCTCGATTTTTATGTCTACTATTTTTCGACGGAAATAATTTTCGAAGGTTTGTTTGGACTACGAAAACATAACCATACTTCTTTTAGCGTATATTATCGATATTAACAGTTCGATAATCGATTGAAGAGAGTTCTCGAAACGTTTCGATTTTTTAAATTTGAATGATATCGTCATAAGATTTCCGCACATATGTGCAAAAAAAAGTTTAAAAATAACAAATATTTCAGATGTACCGAAATTTGGCTGAATTATCTCGAGATAATATCATCTTTCAAGCATTTTCTGGGGAAGTAAGGGACAGAAAAAGGTGGAAAATTGTTATTTTTTTCACGCACGTTTTGCGCCAACTAGACTGCGAAATATCTTATTTTAGTAATTGAATGATCTCGACCGCCAGCTTTCGTGGGCACGCAAAGACCTTTAACAGTCTCATTGTTGTGCGTACGCTTTAAGTATTGGTGCAACCGCGATTTTGCAAGCGGAATTGCGAATGCACAGAGTGCATTCTGAAAATCATGGTAATAATCGACTTCGAGCCTTGCGATCCACCTCAAGGACACGGAACTCGTGGCACTGTGTCTTTTTTCTTTTCCCGGCGAAATACTGTGACGAGGCCATTTCGCTTTGCTTCGGGTTAACGCTCCGACGACGCGCGACGCGAAATTGTCAATGATCGCATACAGCACGGAAGTTTGCAACAATATTGCTGCAATGTTGCAACAGATTGAAATGCAATGTTTTAGAAACGTTGTTAAAATGTAGATGTGCAAAATGATTTTAACAATGTCGCAGCAATATTTAAAAAAAATAATCTACTACGACTTTATGCTTAAATAATTGTGTACCCAACATTTTATAATTTATGAAGTTTTATTAACCCTATAAAATGTTGTCAAGAATTCCAGTTTCTTATCTCGTAATTTAATTAAAATTAAACTCGTTATTTATTTGTTATTATGAAACATGGTTTCATATATATATGAAACACCGTAGTGCCGATTTGTGCACTCGCACGTGCGCGTGAATGCTTTTTAATTTAGCAGAACGTGTTACACGTGTGTACACGCCCAAGAGTTCCGGCGTTTTCTATATAATATATCGAATATTAATTCCAAGGGTGACGCGTCATCGCATCGCATCATATCCTAAAGTGTAAAATTTCCCGTACTCTGTTAGATAACGGGATGATTGCCGTATTTTGTCGTCGCATACGACAACGGATATAGTCGCGTGATGTATGACGATCCTTCGCGAGAGCTAGGAAGAAAAGGATTAGTGGATTGTACAATTTGTCACGTGATCGTACTCGAATGGAACGTATGCTTTATATGTATTATAGTTGTTAAGGAATATCTATCGGAGATCTATGCAGATGCGCGAGCAGTTATATTCATTTATGTGTTACTCGATGTTGGCCACTTTTTAACAAATTTGAATAAAAAAATAGAAACAAAATATTTAGTAAAATTATTGATTAGAAAGAAAGTATCTTTAGCTCAAAATTATGTATAAAATATATTCGTTAAAAATAATCAAAATTTAAATTTCAAAAAAAGAGCTTAATACCTCTACTTTTGAAAGATCACTATGTTTTTACACAAATTTTCTAATACGTGAAAGTTTAAAATTTTCCTCAAAAAATTATTTTTTTAATAAAATGTTCCTAAGATTTTTTATTACTAAATTATTACTTTAAATGAAAGCTTAAATGAAAGGAGTATTTTTTTACTTTGATTGCTCACGATTTCTTTAAAAATCATCACGCGCGCGATTGCAATTAAAAAACAGATTCTTTTAAAGCTGAAACTTTGCTCTAAGTACAATAGTATAACGGTACAGTATATAGCATTGTATAATGTATATAATTTTGAATTAAAAATACTTTTTCCCTAACCCAATTATTATTCAATTATTCATTTATTAATATTTCAATATTTCAGTTTTTTTAAAATATCCATTGAAATCTAGATTGAAGTAAATTTACTGAAAGGAACAAATTAATCAATCAATCATAAAATCGATTCAATTTCAAAGATCAAATTTTTAAAAATTCAAAAATATTAAATAGTATTTTAATTAGAATGAACGTAACCAAGCATGTGATTGCATTTACGAAAGAGTATGCAAAAATAGTAATGATTAATTTCTGATAGCATTGTCACTTCTTTTGGCCGAGGTGTACAGCTTAGATCCGGTTCCGCGAGCGGAACACGTGAGACGCCTCTTCGCCTGCATAATTAATTATGAAAATACCGGCAAAATGCCGGCGAAGACTGCGTCGGCTGTTTACCAGGAACATGCACATTATACAGTTAATTAGAATAAGATACAATGAGATCATTAATTCATCCGACATTCTCCGCTGACAATGTATCGAGAAACTTAGTCATTTGCATGCGAGTGATATGCCATCGCGAGAATCGTAAACGTGGTTTTACCCACCTGCTGACGCCAGTAACGTGACTGCTACTCGTCCCGTAACTGCCAATAACGAGACTTGTTAATGTCTACGTGATTCGTTGGACTTGTTATCAACACTTCTCGTTGATATCCTATTGTCACATTTTTCGTCGAACTGACGTAATCACGTGAATGAGATAAAAGAACATAATTCTGAAGAGTAAAAATGTTATGCACGATAATTTGTAGTAATTTTTTCAATTTAAACATAATCGCGATGATAGAAATAAAAGAATTATTAAATAATATGACAATATTATAATAACAAATAATTATTGTTAAAAAAGTAATTTTTGTTAAAAATATATTGTATCCAAATTCTCTTAGTAATTTTACATGAAACGTTTAATATTTATTTTTTTACAAATTCCGAAAAATAGTTGTCTAACGTCTTTATATTCTCGGACAATTGTTACATCCTTGGTTGATAAGATTTTTAGGGTGTAATTTACAACTGATTGTACACGCGCTTCACCTCCTCTAAGACTTGATATACATATAACGCAACCATGGCCTCGCGAGCATCGTAGGAACGATTTCGGAATTGAAGATGAGATAGCGCACGTAAAAAAACTATTCCACGACCTACCTCTCTCTCTCTCTCCCCCCATCTCTCTCTCTCTCCTTCTATTGCTGCAACGTTACTTTCTCTTACAATGACGGAACGCATATATTTATAGAGAACTCGTATGCGGCATGTAAACGGGGAGTTGTATCGATAAACGGATATGCTGTTTGACATTTCTATGACAAGTTTGCAGGGAGCAAGCTTGCGTGAATTTAGTTCGGAAGTTTAGTTTGTACAGTAATAAGGTCAAGATATTTCATATGTGTAAAAGATTAATATGCAATAATATAATAGCTGCCTTTCACTTGAAGGAAAGTAACTGCATAAAATGATACACTTACAAATTACTTTTATGTAAATGAAGCATTTACATAAACAAGTTTAAAGTTGTGAAAAGTAAATAAATATTACTAGAAAAATTTGTTTCTATATA